AGGAGTTTGTACTCACAATGGAAGACAGGCAATCTGTGGCCTGCACTCCTTCACTCTTACCTCCAGCCCAGCCAAACTAAGCAACTGTCCATTTTTAGGCCACACAAACACTGCTCCCTCTGCTGTAAATGGCCCAACTTTAGTGTCCGCCTGTTAGCTGGCATTCATCCTGCAATGCTTATCTATAAAATCTGTAAAAATTTCTCTTATTCTCTAATCCCTTCCCAACCCTGTCACAATTTCCCTCCCACACATGTCTATTTTTATTTATCTCACAAGAGATTTATCACCCTTGGTTTTGGTTAATTTTATGAACATTCCCCTAATAGACAGGACAACATACTCCATTATCTAACATGTGTGGTACTAGCATACAGTGGCTAATGATGTAGGATTAACAGTATGCTAACACCTACTTGTAGATTACCTGACTGAAAACAGATTCAAATTGCAATGCTCCAAACAAATGATTTCAAAACAAAAAAAAGGTCCAACACCCATTCATGATTAAAAACCCTACAGAAAACTGGAATACAAGGTCTTTATCTCAACCTCATTAAGGCTATCTATGAAAAACCAACAGCCAACATCATACTAAATGGTCAAAAACTGAAAACTTTCACACTAAAATCAGGAACAAGACAAGGATGCCCACTATCACCACTCCTGTTCAATACAGTTTTAGAGACATTAGCTACAGCAATTAGAAAAGAGAAAGAAATAAAATAAAGATAGGAAAGGAAGAAGTTAAACTGTCATTATTCACTGACAATATATTTTACATAGAAGACCCAAAAAACTCCACCAAAAGGCTTCTACACTTAACTGACAGATTCAGTAAGTAGAGTAGCTGGATACAAAGTCAACACTCAAAAAACAATAGTCTTGTACACAAATAACAGAATCACTGAGAGAGAAATTAGGGAAACAATTCCTTTTACAATAGCATCCAAAAAAAATGAAATATCTAGGAATCAATCTAACAAAGGAAGCAAAAGACCTCTACACTGAAAACTACAGCACGCTGAAAAGAGAGGTCAAAGAAGATATAAGAAAATGGAAAGACATCCCTTTTTCCTGGGTAGGAAGAACCAATATTGTGAAAATGGCCATATTTCCAAAACTGCTATACATATTCAATGCATTGCCGATTGAAATTTCAACAATATATTTCACAGAACTAGAGAAAACAATCCAAAAATTCATTTGGAACCAGAAGAGACCTAGAATAACAAAAGCAATTCTAGGCAACAGAGACATGACAGGGGGTATCACAATCCCCAACTTGAAACTATACTACAAAGCTCCTGTGCTAAAAACAACATGGTACTGGAAAAGAAACAGACCCGAGGATCAGTGGAATAGATTAGAAGATGCAGAAACAACTCCAGACATACTCAGCCACCTCATCTTTGACAAAGGAGCCAATCACCCTCACTGGAGGAAAGATAGCCTATTTAATAACTGGTGTTGGAAAAACTGGATTTCAACCTGCCAGAGATTAAAACTAGACCCCTATCTATCACACCATGCACTAAACTAAGATCAAAGTGAATGAAAGATCTAAATATTAAAACAGAAACACTAAACCTGCTGGAAGATAAGTTAGGTAGAACTCTTGAAGACACTGGCATAAGAAAAGACTATAAACAAAACCTCAGTAGCATGGGAACTACCACAAAGAATCAACAACTGGGATCTCATCTTATTAAAAAGCTTCTGCACTACAAGAGAAACCAACAGAGCTAAGAGACAACCTAAAAGGTCGGAAAAAAATTTTAGCAGCTGTACCTCAGACAAAGGACTACTATCTAGAATATATAAAGAACTGAAAAAATTCAGACCCCCCAAATTCAAAGACCCAATTCAAAAATGGGCATCTGAAATGAACAGACATTTCTCAGACAAAGAAGTAAAACCAGCAAATAAATATATGAAAAAATGTTCAATATCACTGGTCATTCGAGAGATGCAGATGAAAACAACACTGAGATTCCACCTCACCCCACAAAGAATGGCTGCTATCAAGAAATCAACCAATAACAAATGTTGGTGGGGGTGTGGGGAGAACGGAACACTTCTCCATTGTTGGTGGGAGTGCAGACTGGTACAACCACTGTGGAAATCAGTATGGAGATACCTCAAAGAAGTAGGACTAGAGCTCCCATTTGACCCAGCTATTCCCCTGCTGGGTATCTTCCCAAAAGAATTAAAAGACTCATACCACAGCGATATATGTGCATCCATGTTTATAGCGGCACAGTTTGTAACAGCTAAAGCTTGGAAACAGCCCAAGTGCCCATCAACTGGAGACCAGATAAAGAAGATGTGGGGTTTTTATAAAATGAAGTACTCCTCAGCCATAAAGAGTGAGAAACTAGAGACATTTATAGCTAAATGGATGCATATTGAGGCCATACTCTTAAGGGAAATAAATAGGACACACATGTGTAAATACCGAATAATTTCTCTGGTGTGAGACACTGAAAGTGTAAATAAGGATTATAATGATTAAAATGAGTAATTGATAATTTGAAATAGGAAGAAAAGGTCCAAAGGTATAGGGGTGGTGGGAGGGGAAGGGGAAAGGAAAAATTGTAAGAAAAGGAAAAAATGGAAATGATGTTTTTGTAAATAGGGAAGGGTGGAGAGGGTAAAGGGTGCACAGGTAATGGGGAAAAAATAAGAACCAAGATACATCATGTACAAGTACAAGTACCCAATATAAATGTAAATGTATTGTATACCTAAAATGTACCAATAAAAGAATTTAAGGGAATAAATAAATAAATAAAAGGATTTTTTTGAAATGATGTTCCTTATTTATGGAAATTATAGAAGGCAAAAGCCTCAGTGACTCTGAGTGAGGATAATTACCACTGTTATAATAGCTTTGTGTCTTGGCATAATCAGAAACTAGTTCTAATCTTTAGTTATCAAAGTACTATGAAAAGTTATTTCATTTAAATAAGGGACACTTCCAATCTAACCAAAACACAGGTATGTTCGATTTTAAATAGACGTTGGTCTAATTTTTAAATATTTATGTTTAAATATTTATGTTATGACAACAGTCATAGCATCCTGTAATTTAGAGCAGACCACCATCCCATCAAACCCACCCATCACCCCACCCCCTGAGTAGTCTACTGCTTTCTGATCTCACTGATCTCTGATCTCGATTTTAATCATCCTTTAAAAATTCTCCTTTCTATCTTCTATGCCCTGTGGCCACTCCCTTCCTTTCTTCTTCAAAATGTCATCTCTTGAATTCGATTTTTATCCCTTCTGGAGTCTTCCCTTTATCACTATATTCTGAGATCTTCACCTCAGCTTCTGAGTTTATCTCCCTGACTATGGACTCTGCTCATTTCTATCTATTTTACATAAAATTGATCTGGTTCCTAAAACACAACTTTTCAAGCTCAAAATGGTTAAATTACTTCATCATAGCAATGCCATCAGTTCCAGGTACTTTCTACTATCCACAGTGACCCATAACTGAATTCAAAATTCAGACACCACCTGCCTCCCCAACTCTGTGCTGGTGAGGTGACCGGCTCCCTCTCGATAAGCCTCTGACTTAGCCATCTGCAGTTCCTACAGTTTCAAGCCTACTGGAAGTGCTGGGACCTAATCCACTTGGGGCAAATTCCAGGTTGCCTGAGAAAGCTACTGAAGAGCTCCCCATGAAATTAACTTTTGAGCCAGTTCTACTTGGACCTTTCCCAATTTGGGGGAAAAGGTATAGCTATGTGCTACATATGCAAGTCCCTGCCATAGTTCAGTGCTTGGTACCCTTGGCCCCTAAGGCTGGGGGTGTTCCGCATGACCATAACAGCCCAGCTGACCAGACATTCACCTTCATTAGCTATCCTAAATTCTGGCTGGCTAACATCTTTCCTCTGCTTACCTAGATCCTCTCCAAGGCCCTAGCTACTGACACCACTTAGCTGCTTGTTCCTGTCCTGGAACTAACCTAGAATCCCATCCCTGTACTCTCCATCTGCCAGATACATCCTGTTCCACATGAGCCCCATTATTTGGCACCATTCCCCTACAAATACTGTATCTCAGCCAATTTTTTAAAAAATCTTACTCCTGGAGCCAGGGATTTAGCTCAGTGTTTCCACCGCCTACCCCACAAGCGCAAGAACCCGAGTTCAACCATCCCCGGTGCCAAAAAATAAAAAATAAAAATCTTACTCCTCTCAAGATTGAGTCAAAACCCTACCTCCTTTCAGAAACTATCTTCTTCCCCAAGGTCACACTGCACAGGAGTCACGATGTACTGTGTGCGGCTGTGGGGGAGGCTCTGTGCTAACGGAACATCCCATAAACTGACAGGCGGTCAACAAGCCAATGCTAGCTCCAAAGTGAGGATTCGCCTTACAGCAAATGAAGATTTTTTTTCCAAAATGTATCATTTTAGAAAAACTAAATCAAAATCAGTCCTGATTTGAAACCAATGTATTAGATAATTCATAGTCAATAAAGTTGAACTTGCTCTCTCCTCAAATCAAGTTTGAGAAAGCACAGATGTACACAAATACATATGCAGTACAGTACTTTGCTTCTAACTCAGATCTTTTCCTTGTAATTCTACTGCCATCTAGTGTCAGCCACAGGAAGAAAAGTGTATTCAGAACATGCATAAAATTCTAAGGATTGAGTCACAAAATACTTAAGTGTCTCAAACAGGTTAATACTGTCTAAACAACAAAAGAAATGCGTCTGAATTCAATAAAAAGAAATCTGTCTTCTAGCTCTAAGATTATAAGCACTGTCCTTAAACTCCATTTAAGTTCACAGAGAACAGGAAAAGATACGCCAAGCTCATAAACAGCATGTTATTTGAAAGCAATTCAATCATGTTATTTAAGAAAAACAACCTGAAATCTATTTCATCTTTCATACAACATAAAACACCCTTCATATTGAACTACTACAAACTAGCCATAAAAATTTTTTAAATGATAATTAAGGAAAATTGGACTTACCTGAAAGTGCAAAATTATTGTCCATATTAGTCCCAAAGTTAACTTGGGATTTCCATCTGTTATGTCATCATTTCTAATATTCACTAATTTCACCTGTTTTATATGTAATGAAGAGATAAACTTCATCAAAAATTGGTACACAAGTTATCTTTACCCACATGAAAGCAATTTTAAATTATGTAAAGAACACAGTAATCACCAAAATACTATTTTATTCTTATCTTCAATTATTTTAGATAGCAAATTACCATATAGGGTAAGCACAAAGGAAAGATGCACATATTGTGGTTTTTATCCTCTAGAGTACTAAAAACATTCATTTGTCAAAAACGTAAGTGAAAAGTTCCAAGTATTTATGATCTTAAAATTGGAAATAATTTCACCTTCTGAAAACAACTTTTACTTTATTCTTATCATTAAGCAGGAAACTGTTTTGAACCATAAAACCATTTTAACAACTTTTCACACTTCCATCAAAAAGAATTATGAAAGTCACTATTTTTATTAATATACCATAAAGATAAATCATTGAGCATTTTGAAGGCTGCTCAAATTTTAAAATAATACTTAGATATAAAGATTATAAGCTGCTAAATTGTACATTTGGATAAATAAACAAAATGAGATCTCTGCCAGGGATTTGGCTCAGTGGTTTTGTCGCCTGCTGCGCAAGCGCAAGGACCCGAGTTTGATCCCCAGTACCAAAAAAAAAAAAGAACTGAATATTATGAATTATATACCAAGAATTATATATCATGATATCTAACATTTTACTTGGTGGGAAAACACTACCAAGAACATTTCAAACAAGGTGACATAATTAATTATTAACCCTTCTGGAAACTTTCACTAGAAGGAAAAATAATGAGGCATGACCCAGAACATTTGAAATTCTTAAGCACTGAGCACTTACTATAGTACTTAGTAACTGAAAGCTTTTTAATGTGCATAATAAACTAAACAAAGAAATAATAAAATCTACTGTTTCCTTCTCCCCCTTTTTCTTTTTTCCTACCCCATTAAAAAGAAAAAATTTTGCCACTCTTAATTTTTCATTGTTTTCATTCATTTTCAACTCTTTGGCATCTTCCTTCCTTTTTCCTAATGGAAAAATTACCAAATCAAAGATCATACCCACTTGATATCCTTTATTTTCCATGATTTCTCCTCTACACTCAAGCTAGTTGGGGACCTGTCAGGAATGATTCATTTTTAGCGACTCATACATTATTATTTATTAATTATACAATATTATTGTTTCGGTATGAATCTGTACTCTTCAAAATTGAGGGGTCACTGAGGCGATGGTGTGGAGAGGCCTGTAAGAGATGCTTACCTCACGAGGGCCTCTTCTCAGGGAGGGATGAGATGTCCTCAGGTAAGGGGCTTGGTAGACAGGTGAGCTCCTGCCTGTCCCTGTGCCTTCTGCCAAGTGAGGATATAGTGCTCCTCCCCTCCAGAGAACAAAACCCTCACCAGACTCAAACTCCTTGAATTTGGAGTTTTGTCTCTAGAAAATTTGAGGAATAAGCTACTGTTCTCTATGAATTACCTTCCCTGCCTCTGATATTCTATTACAGCAGAACTAGACAATCATCTACTTAGAAAAAAACAGAAAACTGCTTCACCACTACTAAGATGTTTACAGTAAGTTTTTAAAGTATGATGTAAAATATTTATAAAAATATTTTTGTATACTAAGTATAAAAAATAAAGTGCTGCATCCCCATTACCAAGAACAGTTCACAGGCATTCTTAACATTTTGCTGCTACTAAAATGCCATTAACTGCTAGGCAAATGCATTCCAGTTCAAAAAAGGGAAAATCAAATGGAAATGCAGCCACTTATAATTCCTCTGAGCTTACACCTAGCATTAACTTCCTTTCTTGGGAGTAAATATTTGAAAACATGTTTTAAATATCTGCCTCACCAAGGAACAGCTTAATTATTATAATTCACAAATTTAACCTTTTCATCCCAACATATCTCTCTATATGTTTAATCACATATATTTAGGTATTAGAATATGAAAAAATCATACCTGGCGTCTTTTCAAATAGTCCAGTGCAATTTGTACATTCTGTAGTCTGTGAAAACGCATTCGACCTTTCTCTCTGGGCTAAGAATAGAGAAATGCAGGTATAAAAAACACTACAGTTTGATACTAGTTACCATGCAAACTGAAATATGGTTTTTGGTCATTTTAGAATATTAAAACCGTATTTACTGTTTAAGCCCATAAAAACTTTTAAGACATTTTTAATTTCTTTGGATTACTGTGATTGAATTTAAACTACTAAAGACTTTTTTGAATATATTTTAAATATATATTTTATTCCAAATATTTAATCAAAAGGAAAAGAGAAAATGCCATACAATACATAAACTTTTCCTATTCACTAACAGAACAATTCTGGCCTACAGATATACAGCTATGGATGCACAAAAATAACTAAGTATCATTCCCCATTTTACCTTCTTAATAAACACTATTAGTAAGAAGATTTTTATAATTATATATATGGCAAGTTAATAAAAATGAGATATAGTAGCATGCAGTTAGTATAAAAATCACCAGGGAGAAAGACAGGTTTACACGGCCATGATAGAAGAATAAGGAAAAGCAACTAAAACTATGTATTTCCTCTTTCTTGTAACTTTTTCACAAAATTAAATTGTATAATAAGCAGAAAGGACCAGTTTTATGCCACATGAGGATGGACATGGTTATTTTCTCAGTCTCAGGAAAAGTGACAAATCCTAGTTATTTTCCTTAATGCCATTTCCTTAAGAAATGGTACAAATTAACAGAAGGAAAACGTAAGGAAACAGAGTTGAAAAAAATGCTTAACAAAAGTACAAAGAATGGAGCTGAAATTTACCACACAAAATCTTCCAAAGGGAAAAAAGAAAACCAACAGCTTGGCTTCTTAAACATGAACAGGTTGCAGAAAGCCAAAGATGCCATAATAAAATAAGACAGCAGACCATAGAAGGGAAAATACATTCTTGAACAAGTAAAAATGATGTTGATAAATTCACCCACTGGATCCAACAAAGCACAATTTCCAAAGAAATCAGGGAGCACTTGGGATGCAGATGACAAAAGCAGCACATCTGTCCTTCAAAGGCAGGCCGACACCAACCACATGTCATGGAGATTAAACAGCTTTGTTCTATTAGGACCCTGGATTTTTAAATCTTCCTCCTCCCTTTTCAAAACTATAAGACACTATTAGATAAAAAATGGCCATCAAATATCTGCTGCCAGTAAGTATGATTTAAAGTAGAAACTTAAGTACTAAATAAAATTTCAATCAGTCCCTTCAAAAAAGTAGCAATAGCTCCTATGTTTGAAATATCAATTCCAGAAATGGAATGAATTTGTATAAAAATGAGCATGCTAGATATAAGACTTCTACATTTATATATAATGTATATAAAATTCTTCAACTAAAATGTCATATACTTTAAACAAATATGTGCAATTACCATGCAGTGCTCAGTAGTGTATAAACAGTTCAACTGCTTTATCTGAGGACAAATTTAAAGAGATAATATTTTCTTGTCCAGTTTTGTTCTGATACACACACATCTACCTCACTGTAAGAGGGTTTTGATTCTTTCTATATTTTTCTCTAGAGGAGCTGAAACCGTGAGTTACTTCTCTACCAAGTTAGCGCTCACCATACTGGACCAGCTAGGTTAGTTGAGTTATGGGGGCCGACACCTACCCCCTTATCCTCATCCTCCACATCCTCATGCTGTTCATATTCGCATGCTTCTGTTGAACTCACCAATCGTAAGGTCTTCAAAAAATCTCGCTCCCTTGGCTAATGAATATAACAGACAGAAGATAGGACAGCAAAGACACAAGACAGACCAGAAATGAAAAGAAGAGCATGAACAGAACATAATGAGGGAGAACAGGTAACCAAGAAGGGGAAGTAATGTTCACAAAAAAGGAAATGACACCTGCAGAATGGGTTAGACCATTTTCCAGAAAGCGATGCTTATTTCCTTGCTATTTGTAAGTCTTTTAATATGTGGTTATACTATGCATCCAACTTCTGCTAAGCAAAACAACCCACAAGTAAAAAAAGCAAGAACAAAAATAGCATTTTAATTACAAAACTGATTATATAAGTGAATTAATAAAAGTGCTTCAATCTCTCAAATTCACATCACTTGAAGTTGGAGAATGCTTAGGTATCTAACCAAAACTTTTTCTTTCTGGCAGAACTCACAGCTCAAACAATGAATACTATAAAAATTGGAAAAGTCTGTGTTGCAAACACAATGATCATTTGTAAAGAGGATTACATGTTCTTCAAAATAAATTAAGAAATGTAAAACTTACCAAGGTATCTCCGGAAAGAACCTCTAAGAGAGAGATCAAATTGTGTCCATCCCTTAAGTCTTCATACAGATCATTCACATGTTTTCGAACCTACACAAAGAAAAAGCAAAACTTTCATCACAGAACTCAAAATCATCCTTCACATTTTTTTTAAGTAAGTACATTTTTTATTTAAAAGTGTATTTATTTATTTTTTAAAGTATGTTTAAGTATATTTTTATTTATTTTTAAGTATATTTTTAATTTTTTTTAATTATAGTTTTTGTTTTGCATACTTCACATTCTTAAACAAAACAGGGAAAGAGAAAACATGCCTCAAATAGTATTCACTCCTATACTTATTTTTCCTTTTAATTCTCATTACTTAAAAATTAAATTTTTAAAAAACTAATGAAAGTAAATTTCAAATTAATACTTCATAAAGATAATACCAATTATTGCATCTTAGCATACTAAAATAAATATAAACCTGGACTACCACATGGGGCTACAATTTTTCAAATATAGGCCGCACCCTAAATTTGCTTATGATTCCTGATACAGCACCTAGAGCCACCTTATCAAGTGTGTTGTACTTCCATGCTCCACCCCATCCATCCACCCATCCCTAAGTCTTGCTGTCTAGCCTACAAGGTCTGGGACGCAGGCCACACACTTAACATCGTATAAACCCATACATGTGAGCCAGGCAAAGGGCACATAAGACTCTGTGCACTATTTTTACAACTTCCTATGAGCCTATAGTCTTTTTAAAATATAAAGTTTTTTAAAAATCCATATATTTCAGATTAGGAGGCTTCTATCCAAATGTTCATCTGCACAACATAATTCTTGGGGCTGAGAGTTTTCAAAACTGAGTGACAAAATCAGCCTGCAACTGCTTTCCCCATTCTACAGGCCAAATTTAAACCTGTGACTTTAAAGCTCAAGCCATCAAAGACTCCCCAAAAGCTTGGTTCAGTCAGCCCAGTGGGGACAGCTCCCATAACTACAAGATCTGTGTCAGATAGACAAAAGTCAAAGCAGGCAATTATGGTTGGTGTTCCATGTAGGCTGTCACATTTCCATTTTCTCACCTTATAGTAATTCTGGGCTGTGTTACTTTGTGCTGGTCCCATAAGAGGAGCCAAAGAAGTGGTGCTAAGAAAAGAGGAGGAATCAGAACCCCACCTACTTCACCTGCTCTGTGTGCTTGCCAGTCTTTGGAATAAACTTTGTAGGTGTGAGTCAAACTCTTTTGCACTTGAAAAATGTCAGATAAAATACAGCTCAGGGCCAGGGATTTAGCTCAGTGGTTCTAGCACCTGCCTCGCAAGCACAAAGTCCAGAGTTCGATCCCCAATACCAAAAACAAAAACAAAAAACACACATTTTATGCAATCCTTATTTAGAAAATCTATAAATATTGTACTTCAAGTAAATCCAAAGGGATTATCCATTCTATTGGAATATTTATTTAGAGATACCATTAAATGACAGCTCTCTTGCCAGGCATGGTGGCGCACACCTGTAATCCCAGCACTCGGGAGCCTGAGGCAGGAGGATCACCATGAGTTCGAGGCCAGCCTGGGCTACATAGTGAGTTCAGGCCCAGCCTGAACTACAAAGGGAGACCCTGCCTCAAAAAAACAAACAAAAAAATGACAGTTCTTTCAATTTCTCAATTATGTTTTAGAGTCAAACAAATTTCAAGGACCTTACTGCACGTGCATACACAAACACACACACACACACACACACATATGAGGCAAGGCACATCAGCTCCTAACGAAATGTGTACTAGGCACTGTAATTTTCTACTTGTACATTAGAGCACTGTAAAAATTCACCAACTCCCAGACCAAGGCATGAGCTTGAATTATAAGGCTATGATCTACTTAAAAGCAAGCCAGAAAAATTAAACCTGTGAATTTTCACACATTAAATGCACCTAAATCTATGTACAAGGGGTGATCAAAATATACAGTGAATATTTAAACTATTTTAAAAATTATTACAGTAATTATTACAATCCCACCCTGGACTACACAGTGAGACCCTGTCACAAAACAAAAACAAAACATGGCAAGAGCAGATAAGTGTGCAAAGCAAGGAGGGGTATTTGGTGCAGGATTAATGGCAATGTGTTTTTACTATAATACATTTTTTAATTTAAACCCTGTAACTTTCCATCACCCTCATATTTGTCAGTGTTTCTCCAGCATAACCAGAAAGCAGCCTAACTCTCAAAGAGCCTTAACAGGATCCCTGAGAGATCACATTTATATAAATAACATGCAGCTACTGATCCTCAGCCAGCTGCTTAGTCTCTTCAAATAAATGTCTTCATTGTACAGGTCCACACACAAGGACAGCGAGAAGCAAGCACGTGATAGGACAGGCCACCCGGAAGAGTAACTAACACAGCACTGAGCATTCTGGAGAGCCCTGCCAGACTCAGTTCTCCACAATCTACTTCCTACGTCTTTCCCACCCCTGGACAGTTGGAAGTGGGGTGTGATTCTAAGCACTTATTTCACAGGAAGGCAATTTCACAGTATGCCTTGCCAGACTGCACTAAACCCTCTACATTAAAAAAAAGAAAAAGAAGAACAACTTTCGGAAACCAGGAGTCATTTTTCATCATTGTATTTATGTTTTAATAAAGAAAAATTAAATTAAGCATGTTTAGAAAAGGAAAATAATAATGTGCCATGAAAACTCAAATTAGGAAGAAAGTAAAGAAAATTTGTCATAAGGAGGAAAAACAATTCAGAGACCTACATCACAGTCTCACTTCTGACACTGGCCTCGTGAACTTGAACCAACAGCCTAAGCTCTCTTGGCCTCAGTTTCTTCATCTGCAACATAAAGGTCTGAAAATAGCTTCTACTTCAAATTAGAGAACAGCAATCCTATGATCTCAGAATAAAATGATTTTTTAATTAATGACATCAATTTTAAAAGAAAATGGTAAAATGGAAAATGCAGTACTCTTAACCCTTATGGCTTAATTTAATAATTTTAGAAGAAAAACAGATACAGACTGATCAAACATTTTATAATACTTCAAACTACCCTAGACACTGGCTACCCTCTAATACTGCCTGTTTTTCTTGACTCATGACTATTCTCGAAGGATCACAGAAAACTGTATAACTTAGAGCTATCATGGCTATTGGTAGAGCTCAGTGGTAGGGAAGCTTACCTAGCCTGGTGTGAGGCCCTGGGTATGGTTCTCACCCCACAAAACAATGAATGTACAATGTAACAATAATAAACAAGGTACAGGGCCAAGGATTTAGCTCAGTGGTGCCACCGCCTGCCTTGCAAGCACAAGGTCCTGGGTTTGATTCCCGGTACCAAAAAACCCCCCCAAAACAAAGTACATGCAGTGAGTTATTACAAGGTATCTACAAAACAATGAATGTACCATGTAACAATAATAAAGCACACACAGTGAGTTATTACAAGGTATCTGACCCTGAGTACTTTAGAAATAGTGCTCATCTTCCTCACCACAAATGACTGGGGTAAAAACAGAATGTTATCAAAAAATTAAAAATCAACATTACAAGGAAAGGGTGGTAGTGAATGAGGTGTGGGGGAAATACTGGAGTTCTGGAAATTATCTGATGAAGAGAGCCATTAAGGAGATAGAAAAGAAGGGAAATTAAACAGTTTAAGCCTACACAGAAAAGACATAACTTGTTTATTGTCCTAAATGTGAGTCATAGTCATTTGGTCTGGTTACTTTTCTTCACAGATGACTACACTAAATGGCCACACTTGTTTTAATCTTCTGTTTTCCATTTTCAATAAAACAGTCTTCTCTTTTTGGATATTTTCCTCCTGGGGAACAAAAAAATGTCTGAACAGATAGTGCTAGAAGAAGTGATAAGCAAAGTAAAAGCACTATGAGAGATCCTGGGAATAATTATATAACTTGAATTACATAATGAGGGTAAAGAATTTTCTGTATTTCACAAAATTCTCCCAGAATTTTGCAGTGCTTTCTACAAACTACACCAACCTTCTGCACCTACAGTTTATCCATAGCGGGTGCTAATCTTGTTATTAAAAAATATTCTAAAGGAAGACAATACATAAGAAAACATTCTGTGGGAGGAAAATTCTAAACAAAATGCTTGTAGTCACACGCAGTATTTCTCATTTATTTTGAGTGTAATTAAGAGTACAATATGCCATGGGCTGGGGATTTAGCTCAGTGGTTCTGCCACCTGCCTCGATCGCCAGTACCAAAAAAAAAAAAAAAAAAAAAAGAGTACCATATGCCAGGTTTGTATTAGCCAGTTGGATTGATCAAAGAGAAAAAATACTACCCAATAAATAAAAAGTACTACTTCAAAAATTTCATTTTGTTAACACTATGGGCTAAACTAAATTCAACTTTGGAGAGAAGAGCATACAAACATTTAATGTTTAAAATGGTCTATTTTTCTGCCCATAGTACTAAAGCATGCAAACTAGTGCCTTTGCACTTAGCAATCGCTCCTACCCTCACCACCTTTTTTTTTTTTTGGTACAGTACTTCACCAAGACACTCCGATTGGGCTCAAACTTGTGATCCTCCTGCCTCAGCCTCCCAGAATGCTGGGATTACAGCAGGCCTGCACAACCAACCATGCTTGGCTCAAAACTGTCTTTTTTCAAAAGTCTGACTTTGTAGTGGTTCAAGATGATCTACAGAAACTCCACAGGAATTTTACTTCCCATATTTAAACATGCTGGTACCATGTGGCCGCAGTTCAATATATGTCACCAAATATTACTGAGCATTGTGACCTTTAGGCTTCATTGTCAACTTGAGAGACCTGGGAGATGACCAGGGGATTAATAAAGCTCACTTCTGGGTGTGTCTGGATGGCTCACAGAGGCGTGGCTTGGGGTAGGACATAATGGTCTCTGCCCCTTCTCAGAGCTGTTCCCAGTCTGCTTTCAGCCGCCGTGAACACAGCAGCTTGGGTCCCCACACCCCTCTGCCATGATGTTCCTGCCTTGCACTCAGTTGCTCATGGACTGAAACCTCTGAAATCGTGAACCAAATAAACCATTTCCTTCTTTAAGTTGTAGGGGTTGGGTATTTGGGC